ACCTCTCTGCATCCATCCTGTGGGTTACATCAGCCCACGGGGAGGTAGGAGTGGAAGAGCTGGGGGATCTTAGCAGGGGTTATCCCGGGCCCTCAGAGAGCCCTGCCAGGGCCACAGGGTGCTGGGCGGCTGCGCCCCCTATCATCTCCTGCCTCTTCCAGGCTCCCGAAGCAGACACTCAAGGCGGTCACGGAATGTTAGCCGCTTGCCCTGGAGTGTGGCATGGCCACTCCAGGCACCCTTGGCACAGCCAGGGAGGAGCTGGGTGGAGCGTCGGGGTTCCCGAAGGTAGAGACGGCATGGCTATATTGCGGCGACAAATCTGCAGCTCCGTGCGCTGCAACAGACTGGGGCTCTGCCGGCCTCCCCTCTCTCTCATGGATGCAATATCATCATCTCCGATTTTCTTATCATCATGGCAACCCTCCCCTGGGAGACACAGAAAGTCACAGTCCATGTGGGCAGCCCAGGCCAGAGGCGCTACGGGAGCCCAGGGGAGGGGGCCTGGTTCTTTTTTGGTTTAAGGGGGATAATTCTTAGAGGAATAGGCATTTGCCATGAGCCTTGAGAGGTAAAGAGAGAAGGGGATTCCAAGCAAGAGGGCAGCCTGAGCACAGGCCCAGTGCTATGAAAGGGTGAGGCGATCTTGGGAGGGGTGGGGTTGGGGGGGGGGATGATGGACTTCCCCCACAGGGGTCTTCCTGCGTGGCTGCAGGGGCTCTGGTCATAGGAGATAGGCCACTGGTGGTGGGGAGACTTCGTTGTCTGTGTCCCACCCCCACCATGCACTTCCTGGGCTCTAATGGGGACCACTCTCCCCTCCCACTCAGCCCCGGGCACAGCATGCTTTCCCATTTCTGTCTCTGGAATGGCCTCATCCGGCTAGGCTAGAAATCATGGGGTGATGGGAGGCGTCATATGGGACTCCCCCAACCTCTTCCACAGCCAGTCTGTTGATTACACCTTCCAAGTGTCTCTAGAATCCCTCCCTTCACCAGGAACCTGCATATGCCTCCCCCAGGTGAGGCCTCTGCCCTGCTGTGTGGCTCCCTGTTCCCCCGCCTCCACTCCAGCACCTCTGCACTCCCCACAACCTAAGGAGACTGGTCCTCGAACAGCCTGAGTCTGGCAGCGCCCCCTCCGCCCAGGACGGGGAGCAGGCTTCCCAGCACAGCCTCAGGCTCAGGCCGCCTAGCAACAACCTCCCCTCCTCACACCCGAGCTACAGCTGAGGCCAGATTGCTTTCAGTTCCCAAACACAAGAAGCTCTGGCACCCAGAGCATCCCGTGCCTTGAACACTTCCCCATTCGGCTAGACAGGACTAACTCTCAGACATCAGCTCAGGCCAGTTCTCCTGTCTGGGGTTTTCCTGGGCCTCAGCAGTGAGCACCCTGGGTGGCCTGGGTGTGTTGGTTCTTGTTGAGGAAATAAGGAACTGGTGCATCCCAGACAAGATTGCTGGTGTGGAGCAGACGAGGGGGCATAGGCCTGGGGAGGCAAGCAGAGGGCAGCGCAGGCCAGGCCTCCAACTCTGTGGCCTGAATAAATCACTTATTCTTCCTGGAGCCCTCTCTGTGAGATGGAGGGGTCAAACGAGCTTAAAACGGCCCTTGAAAGGCAAATGTACCATAGAAATCCAAGAGAGTTGACGGTCGCTGTCTGTCTCCTTCAGGGTCTTGGGCCGGGAAGATTCTCCAGGTATCCAACTTGTATGCCTCTTGCTACACGAGAAGCTGGTTTTGACACTGTGCTACCTCGCCCAGACACGCAGTCTTCAGGGGGCCCTGGGGGACAGCGTGAGAACTGTCTTCTGTCCTACCCAGTCCTTAATTGGCAGTATTAGAGTAATGAGTCACAGACAACAACCAATTAATTATCTCCAGTTATAAAAAGCTTCACTTCCCCTTCCTAGCTGTCGAGTGAGCCAGCCTCCTGCTGCCAGGCTCCTCTACTCCCTAGGGGCTGGGGGCAGAAGAGGGCATTTCACCTCTCCGGTCTGGTCCTGTTTCCTGTTTCCTTATGTGTCCAGTATGTGTCCTAGGGCTGGGGGACAGTAAGAGCAAAGGCTTGGAGGAGGTGGGACTGCATCGGGCTGGGGGGACAGGAAGGATCGGGCTGGTAGGGCAGGAAGGAGGCTGCCAGCTCCAGTGCAGAGGGGGCTCCTCCCCACTCCCCAGGATCCACTCCAGTACTCCGGGGCCACTGCTGATCCCAGAACCTTGGAGGGCTCCTCCTCTGGCATTCAAGCCACGCCCACTCTTGCCCCCAAGCTCCTGGTCCCACAAGCCACGCCCACCCCCCCCCCCCCCCCCCCGCAGGCTCCTGGTCCCAGGTTCTTCCGCCATCTGGCAACTTCCCAAATCCTCCTCCCGCCCCTCCTTTCTTCCCCTTCTGGCAAGTTCTCACTTAATCACATACTCAAAACATGCGTGTTCTCCCCACCAGCCTTCATCTTCCTGTGGCTCCTCTTGTAAATTTTTCCTGGACTCCAGGTGTGACGCGGCTTGAAGCCTCGAGATCTCCACTGGCATCACAGTTAAACCCACCCCACAGCGGCGACCTAACAGGGCAAGCTCTAGGTAAGCTCTCGGCTCCTGGCATACAATAGGTACTCAATCAATGTTAACTGTTCCTCTCATGGTTTATTTCCCAGCCTGAGCAGGATCATGATGAAAGGCTTCTGTGACTCACCACCCACAGTCTGTCACCCCATTTCACAGATGAGGATCAGAGAGGTCTGGCTTCACAGAAGAACTTGACCCAGGGCTTGTCGGAGTTGGGAGGCGCTAGGGGAGGCTCCCTCAAGAGGACTTGAGAGGAGGCCGTGCCTGGGCAGGGGGAGGGGAGGGGTCCCCAAAGTCAGAAAGGAAGTTTGGGCTGAGAAGAGGCACAGGCCCGAAGTTGGAGCCCCTGCCCCTTTTGGGGGCCTTTCCTCTACTGCCTTGGCAATGCTCCTTCACACCCAATCCGTGCCCCCAGAGCTCACTCCGGGGCCTGTTTGTTCAGCAAAGCTTACAGAAAACCTACTCTGCACCAGCCCCGACTCTGAAACACCGGATTGCTATTCCCTCCCTGGGTCAGGCTAGAGAGCCCAGCCCCCCTCACGGTCCCCAGCCGGCCATCTCTGGAGGGACTGGGGAGAAAAAAAAGGGGGGAGGGGAGAGAGAAAGGGTGAGCAGGCTGAGGCTAGAACCCAGGAAGTGGGTGGGGAAGCAGAATGAGGTGAGTGGCAGGGAAGGCGGAGGATGCTCATCCTCAGCTGGGAGTCTCTCGGAGGGAGGGTCGCCTGAGGTAAGCTCAGCCCGTTCTGCGGAGGCCCTGACACCCAGGGCTGCAGCAAAACCCTCCCTCTCGCAGCCCGGCTGGCCTGTGGCCTCCTGCGGCCCCTCCCCCCTTCGCTCCACAGCAGGCACCCCAGACGTAGGCATTCGCAGAGACTGCACGGCTTGGGCTCCCAGTCAGCTCAAAACCGGCCTCAGCCCACCACTTCCTCCACCCTGGGCCCTGTGCTGGCCACAGCCGCGGCCGATCACTTCCTGACTCTGAAGCCTGGGATGGGCCTGCCCTGGGCCTGTGGAGGGCTGTCAAATGTCCTGGGAGCTATGCCTTCCTCCAGCAGCTACTCCGGCGGCCAAGGGGCTTGCTGCTGGGGGGCTCGGCCGTCCTGCTCCCTCTCCGTCAGCTGTCTTCCCTCCCGGGGCTGTTGGACCCACACTCGCCCTGGAGCCGGATCACAGCTCTGCCCTCTCACTGGCATTCCCGGCTTCTGTTTCCCCTGTGAAACGGTGGTGGCGACACCCAGCTCAGGGGCTCGGTGGGAGGAACGAGAGTAGCCGTGTCAGTGCTCAGCAGGGGACCCGGCACAGACACCCGCTGCCCGCTGCAGGCCGAGCTCCTGCCCTTCCTGACACGGGGAGGCCCTGCCGCCCGCCCCTGTCCCTGGGACCTGCCCGGTGGCCTGGGGCGGGCCCCTCCCTCTCCCTCTCCCTCTCCCTCGCCTCAGTTTGGCATGTCCCCTTCTCTGGGCTGGGAGTGGGTACGTGGTGATGTCAGACCATGTGCTCACCAACTGACACCTGCTTCTCACCCCTCGGGGGTCATGAACCCAGGCTCCTGAGTCAGGCTAGTGCTCTGTTGGTCCCCAGCACAGGCAGAGGAGGAGGGCGGGAAGGTGGACGAGCTTCCCCATCCTCCCCCCATCCAAGGAGCCTGGTGATACCTGGCCTCTGACCTCAGCTGCCACCCACACCCTTGGCCACTCCATCCTGTTTCAAAGCTGGCTCAATTTGGAGGCTGGCTTCTTTGTTTAGACAAGCAGGAGAGAGGAGGAGAGCTGTTTTCCAGGCAGCAAAGCTTTTAGATAAACACTATCTCCCTCCCTTTCCTCCTGAAGGAGATGGGTTCCTTCAGAGAAGAAACTAGATCCAGCCGCTAACAGTGCCCCAGGGACAGAAGCCCGGCTTGGCTCAGCTCAGGGTCCGGCCTGGGGTGCCGGACACTGAGCGAGGCTTTCTTCATCCTGCTGCCAGCTCTTGACAGGTCTGTGGCTCAGGTGATGGAGCCCTGAGGCCAGGCCACGGCCCCTGCCAGCTCCCAGGCTCCGGGATGGCCTGGCCCACCTCCTCACCCTCCCCTCCAGCCACCCGCCTGCCCGCCTGCCTAGCTGCCAGGAAGCTGAAGGCTTCTGCTCACCTTGGGGGAGGCGGGGGAATGAGCCCTTCCTGGAGCGCCCCTTTCTGCCCAGACCTCCGGAGCAGCCCAGGTCCCATGTGCCCGAGGAGAGTTCACCAGCTCCAACCAGGACAGGATGGCCTACTTCCCTGCCCGCCTGGTCAGGTAGATTCCGGAATGACCGTGGGCCCGTGTTACAGAAGGAGAAACTGAAACCCAGCGGGGCACTGCCCCGTCCAGAGCCGCCCGGCAGAGTGAGAGACCGGAGACCTTTCCCCCAGGCCCTGGGGCGCCCTAGGTCCCCCGACCCCGTCCCAGCCTGGCTCACCGGCGTGGTGTCATCGTGGGACCGCTGGTAGCGCTTCCAGCGGCAGCCGTAGATGCCCGTGAGGCAGGAGAGGCACAGCTGGGGCTCATAGTACTGCAGCGGCTGGTGTCTCACCATGCTCTCGCCGGCCGCCGGGCGCCCGGCCCTCAGGCGCCCATGGAGGCCTCCGGCCGATCCTGCAGGAGGAAGCACAGGCCTGTGAGGCAGGGGAGGGCGCGGGGACTCAGCCCCAGACACAGCAAGAGTCCCTGTCGCCCCGTTAGGTGCCAGTCCCCGCCCAGGGCCCTGCCGTGAGGCCTACACAGCTGGAGGCCTGCACCCCCGCGGCTCCCCGGGGCCGGTCTCCTGCCCCTCACCCTGACCCCATCACCCCCAGCCACACCTGCTCTGTACCTGCCCCTGCTGCCTCGGCCCAGAATGCTTTTCCCTTCGAGCTCCACAGGGCACCTTCCTTCCCCTCCTCTGGTCTTTGCTCAAATGTTCTTTTCTCCACCACACTTTCCCAGGCGACCTCCTATAAAACTGCAACACCTTCCCATACGCCCTCAGCCATTCTCAGCCTTATTTTCTCAATCATGTCCCCCAGTGTACTTTGTTTAAAATAGACCAGGCACGGTGTGAGCGCTGTATGCCTCGAAGCCGATTGACAACTGGATAAACGGAGGCTCAGGGAGAGAAAGGGACAGCGCCCCGCATGCAGTCCAAAACCTGGCTGTGGCCAACCTGAGGGTCTGCTCTTGTGCCCCAAAGTGCTCAGAGCTTTGGGCTCCGGGAGTCCTGCCGTGGTTGCGGGAACAATGAGAGGTGTCTTGTGGGTTGAGTCGCTGCCACCAGGAGCAAGTGCCCCGGCCCTGCTCGGCACCCTGGAGATGCCTGCTGGGGGTTCAGCCACTCGGGGCTAGCATTGGCCACATGGGACCTGGCTCGGGTGCCTCACACACCCTGACGAGGAGCCTGGGGCTCAGAGCAGCCCAGCGATTTGCCCAAGGAGTCAGGACTCAACCCCGGGTCTGTGGGACTCCAGAGACTCTAAGCCACATGTTATGTATGGGGTCCTGTCCTTGGTCTTGGAGACACCGTGAACGGGACAGGCACACTGATGCCCTCAGGGCCCCACAAGACCAGTGAGGGACAAAGCCAGTCACTTACTGTGCACTTTTTAAAAAAAATTTTTTTATTGTTATGTTAATCACCATACATTACATCATTAGTTTTTGATGTAGTGTTCCATGATTCATTGTTTGTGCATAACACCCAGTGCTCCACGCAGAATGTGCCCTCTTTAATACCCATCACCAGGCTAACCCATCCCCCACCCCCCTCCCCTCTAGAACCCTCAGTTTGTTTTTCAGAGTCCATCATCTCTAATGGTTCGTCTCCCCCTCCGACTTACTCCCCTTCATTCTTCCCCTCCTGCTATCTTCTTCTTCTTTTCTTAACATATATTGCATTATTTGTTTCAGAAGTACAGATCTGTGATTCAACAGTCTTGTACAATTCACAGCGCTTGTGCACTAACTCTTATAACGACCCTGTGAGGTATTATTTTTTTATCGAGATCAAATTCACAAGCCAAAACATGCACCCTTTTAAAGGGTACAATTCAGTATTTAGCATATTGTTTCCAGTACAGTCACAAAGTTGTGCAACCATCACCACCATCTGATTCCAAAGCATCTTCATCATCCCAGCAAAACACCCAGACCCATTACTACTCACCACCCTATCCCCCTTCCCCCCCACCCCTTCCCCAGAGACCACTAATATACTTTCAGAATCTATGGGTTTGCCTTTTCTGGACATCGCCTATCATTGCAATCATACAATATGTTAATTAATAGTTCTCGAGGCTCATCCTGTTACAGCAGGAATCAGTACTGCATTCCTCTTTAGGGCTGAATGACACTCAATTGTATGGACAGACTATTTTATCCATTCAACAGCTGAGGGAGATCTAGGTTGTTACCACTTTTGAGCTGTTAGGAATAACGCTGCTAATGAACAAGTTCTCGCGTGAGCATGTTTTCATTTCTCTTGCGTACATGCTTTGGAACAGAAGTGCAGGGTCATATGGCAACTCCATGTTCAACCCTTTGAAGAACGGCCAAGAGCCATTTCGTAAAAAACAGCAAAGCACTGCACCATTTTACATTCCCCATGTATTATCATTATCACCCCCATTCTCCAGATGGGAAATCTGAAGCACAGAAAGGTTTAGCCATTGGCCAAAGGTCACACAGCAGAGCCTGTCAGCCTGGCTCCAGGGGCCTTGCTCTAACCCCGGGGTTGGCAAATTGTAACTCAGGCGCCAAATCCGACCAGTCACCTATTTTTATGTAGGCCACAAGCTAAGAATGGCTTTTCTGTATTTTTACAGTTCAGGGGCAAAAAATCAAAACAAAAATATTTTGCGACACATGAAAATTATAGGAGAGTCAGGTTTCAGTGTCCATAAATAAAGCTTTATTGGCTGCAGGCACAATCGTTTGTTTATGTATCATCTATGGCTGCAACAGAAACTGCAGAGGGGAGTGGTTGTAATAGAGACCGAAGGGCCCACAAAGCCTAGAACTTACTGCCCAGCCCTTGACGGGGGCAGTCCGCTGACCCCTCGGCCACTGGGGGACTGGCCACGGTGGCTCAGGAGCTGGTATGCTGGAGAGAGTAAAGGTGGGCTGTGGGTACTTAGCATTGTGCATGGGTAGTCAGGACACGCTTCCAGGAGGCAGCCCTGAGCTGAGGCCTGTCTCTAAGTGCCCCAGGGGCCGCTCCAGAGGGGCAGGCTGGGCCTCAGGCCCACTCACTACTTCCACCTTGGCCTCACTCAGGGCCTCTACCTACCGTCATCCCCCCCCCACCCCACCCCCACCACCAAATGCTCACCTCAGCGCAGGGATTAGAGCCTCTGGTGGGTAAGAGGGGGCAAGATGCATTAGGGCCTTGCTGGGAATATCGACTGACTCGGAGCCTCCTAATTGCTGGGAATTGTCTGGTGTAGCTTCTGGGCCCGTGGCTCCCTGGGGAGGCATGTGGACTACCGTGCAGCTGCTGGGGGATCTCGGAGCCAAGCCGAGCCCAGGTTTTAGGGGATGTGTGTGCTGTTGCAGTCTGGTGGCTTAGGTCCCATGGGGTTGGGGAGAGGGGAGGGGCTGTTGGGAGGGGTGCTCTCAGCTTTACTTTATTCTACTCCAGAAGGATTGTGTGCTCACAAAGGTACTCCCACATTCCCAGCCTTCCAGAGGGGGTAGAAGGCCAGATCTTACAGAGCCAGGGAGCCAAATCTTACCCCAAGATTAGGGCCTCTACTGGCCAGATCAATCACATCTGTCCCACCTTTGCCCTGTGGCTGGGGCCTCCAGGGTTCTTCCTTGATCCTTGGTTTCTCAATCTGTAAAATGGGTAACAGCCTGTGCCTTGACTCCTATAGGAGACCGGATTATGGGGGGGAGGGTGCAAGGAGGACAACATCACTGCAGTGACTGAGGTATACAGCAGGCGGGCATTCTGTGAACGGGAGCCCACACCCAGGTTCCCCTGTTCTCACACGCCTTTTCCAGGGCTCGCCAAGCCCGGGACTGATTCCCACGTGTCCCCTGCCCTCCCCCGCCCCAGCCCGCAAACTGAGCATTACAAGGCACCAAGAATGGAAATTCCACTTCACATCAGGGAAGCAGAACTGCCTGCACTAGGCCTTGGCCCAGGGCTCAGCTGATCGTGGCTCTGGGAATTGCCTCCCCCCGCCCCGCCACCCTGCCTGGTAAATTTTCACACTGTTCATAACTGCATGGGCAGCTTGGGGAGGCAAACCTCTTCCCTCGCCTCTGCGTGCTCTCCCGGGGCCTTTTCGTCCACTCCCAGGGCTTCGGGTACCAGGTGTGGCCAAGCCCACTCAATTGCTGTCTCCCGACTGAGACAGCCAGTGGCTCCTGGCTGCCTCCAGCGGTGCCCCCCAGGCCCTACAGACCCAGCACAGGCCACCCTGCCCCCCTTACCACCCCAACCTGCTTCTAACATCCCTCACAGCCTCTTCTCACCAGCCCTTTGGCCACCGGCCTGGCCTGGGTCTCCTCTCTCCCCTAGACAGGTAATCCTCTGGCCTCCCTATGGGGGTCACACCCCACCAATCTGAGCCTTCCCCTGTGGCCAAAGTGAGCTCTTTAACAGGCAAATGGCCAGGATCTGACTCTCCTAGCCTCACCTTCCAGAATTTGCTGTCCCTTCTGCTGACGAACACCTCCCCACGCTTTGAGTCTCAGCTCAGATGTGACCTCCTCCAGGGAGCCTGCCCTGAGCTCCAGGTTTGGTTAGAGGGTTTCCCAGCTTCCCATAGCCCCAAGTTTCCCTCAGTCTTCCCCAGGCACCCCATGTGAGCACGGCTGATGGGCCTGCCTCCCCCCACGGAATGGCCTGAGTTATTCCCATGTCCCCAGTGACCAGCCGTAAGAGGCGGGGGGCACTGGGGACTTGCCAGACTGGACTTCTGTGGCGGCCCGGAAGTTCTGCTAACAGAGATGTGCTGTTCAGTCACTGAGCAGTCAGACAAGCTCCCAGAGACCGGACTCTCCCCAGCCTCCCCCGACACCTCCTCTTCCTGCCAGGGCTAATGACATTACTTAGGATCGATCGATTTCTCCAAGCCACCTCCGGGACCGCTGACATCAGCCAAGTTCCCAAGAAATCCCTAGCCAGGAGCTCCTCCTGCTCTGGGATAAGAGAAAGCCCTCACCTCTGAGCCTGATGTTCAAGGGTGTCCCTCAGTCCAAAGTTCCATTTTCTGTCCAAATTCCTGGCCCCTGCCCTGAACTTCCACAGCCTCCTGTTTCATACACAGAAGGGCCTGCAAGGGGTTGGGTCTGGGATGGAGTGAGCACCTGCTATGGAGCAGAAGCAGGGTACTGGCACCTCTAGGCTCCTCTCCCACCCTGACATCCTGGACATGGACCTGACCCACGTCCCTGCTCCTCTCTCGCGTGACCACCCTCACTGCCCAAGCCCGTTCTCTTTCCTGAGAGTGGAAAGAATTTCAGGCCAGGTGTCAGTGCCCAGGTTCCAGCCTGGTCTTCAACTGACCTGCTGTGTAACCTCGGACGGCTTACTAGCTCTCTCTGAGCCTTACTTTACTTGCCTGAGAAATGGAGACTAGATGGAGTGACACCAAAAAAGGACCCAAGCAGGG